GTGGCTGATAAATGATCACCGTGATGGTTAACATGATACAGGACATGTCCATAGCTGATACGTGTTCCCGTAGCTCATCCAATCCCCTGGTGACTTCACTGTTTGTATGTCAACATCATCTGTCACAGTTAGGGCGGAGGCTGAACCTGACATCTGTGTTGGTCGGAGAGGATTAGCTCTATCAGTGTTATTACAGTTCCCAGAGAGCGCAAGGTTGCTAAAGGTCATGGATCACACGGCGCCCAATTACAACAGAGCTGCATGTGCTCATTTGTTCTGCACATTCAATAAATCCTTCAGAGCAATTGCAGGACAACATTTGGTTCCAGGAGAATAATTTAGCATAATTGTGAAAAACTGATTAATTTTTTTTTGGAAATGTTCACGGAAATGATCATAAGTGAAAAATGCAAGTCCATCCTCTGGCCTGTGCTGCTGCTTGCTTACGGTCTCTGTTCCCTGCAGAAACCTTGTCATCTTTTTTATCTGGACTCAGCTGTTTTCCCCCTCTGGCTCCCAGTGTAATGACCTTTCTCTTCCAGCCAGAACAGAAGAGTCACTCCCCATTTTCCATTGTAGGCTGAAAACTCATCTCATCAAGAGGGGATGTCATGTCACCCACTCAGCTTCCCCTCCGCTGCGTCTACCTCCTTTATTTTGTGGAAAATAAACCTCCCGAGCTTTTTTTTTTTTTTTTGCTTTTTAACTTGTCTGCCTTCCAAAATGATTGAGTCATACGCTGTTGCCCGGGCAGCTCGGCTCTGACGCGCTCTACTCTCTGCCCCATTGTTTCGGCTGTTTTGTCATTTTGATGCTGAAATTGAAGAACCCCTCAGAGTTTTTCGACCTGAATCTGATTGCCGACTGCTCCTTCAAATTTATGCAGCATTATTTTTTTTTTCCCCAAGCTCACTAACAGGGAGGAGTGTGGAAAATGTGTCACAGCACTGAGGTATTGTACTCATGGGTGCAGGTTTTTGCTTGAACATTAGGGGAAGCCATTAAGAAAAGAGCCCGGGTGTCCTCCCTCAGGAACGTCTGAGCATCGAAACTTAAATGCATCTATTCTAGTGAATTATATGCACCGGTTTCTGCCTTATTTTCTGCATCAATTTATTATGGAAATATGTTTAATCATATAAAGGAAAACACAAAATTCAGACACCAGACAGTCCAGTCAGAATAGAAAGCAGTAAGGCTCAGAAGCAGTCTGCCTTGCTTTCAAATATTTATTCACCTGTAGATTGCCTCCTCATTTAAGATGATCCCTGCACTCAGAAAAATAAAGGCCTTAACCTACATAGAAGAGCCATTCTAGCTTCACAAAGGAGCTTTTAGCAAGAAGTTCTTTAAAGAGACATTTCTATTGAGAAAGGTGCATCAAAGAATCATTAAAAACGACTCCTTTAGGCAGCATAAAGTCAAAGAACTTAGCAAGTATTGGTTCTTTAAGGAAGCATTTTCAAGATGCTTCTTTGTGGACCCGCTTGGTTCTGTTTTGATAACAGAACTTGATAATCCTATAAATGTTCTTTAAGCAAAAATGGGAGAATTTGCAGCATTTCTGGGTGACTTTCACTGTTTTACATTTAATATTTGGGGCTGACCAGAGAGATCAACATATTACAGATGTGTGTTGGGAAACCGTGATGAGCATTTCTCACAGTTTTCTGATGTTTAATACACCAACTGATTAATCAAATAATTGAGAAAACAGACTGCAGATAATGAAAACAATCATCAGTTGCAGCTCGAGTTATATGTTATTACCTGCCATCGAACCAAACAACCCCAAACAAGGGGTTCTTTAGCTTTGGTGGCACATTAATGGCTCTCTGCCAACCTTGATGATCAAATAATAAATTTTATTTGCTTTATAAACTTTATTAGCTCATCTATGTTCCAGCAAGTTTTGTTCTTCTGTGTGGGGGGAAAAAGACATTTAGAGGTAAACTTTTAGTGAATTTTCAAACTAATGCACCTGTTGTAAATATTAAGGAGGACATGTCCCCTGCCTCCCTGGTTCGGCATCTTCTTCCCTCAGGCCACATCCATAATGAACAATCAGTCACTAAATCATTACACTACCTCTGTGCATTATCATTACATGTGCAATTCTTCAATTTCATGGGCAATCTTGTAATTTAAACCAGTTTAGGCAACTTTATGTCCCTTTTACACAGTACTTTTTATTTACATAGTACCTTTATGCTTTGCTTTTACATATAATATTTTATTTAGATTGTTTTTTTATTTCTATATTTATTGCCTACCTTGTTATTGTTGTTCATTCACCATGTCAAATTCCTTGTGTGTGCGAGCTCACTTGCCAATAAAAGCTTTCTGTAATCTCCAGTGGCGCTGTGTGTCTTGTCGGCCTGTAGGGGTCAGTAGTGTCGCCACTCTGCGTTGACTCCGCCTCAAATAGACCGTAGAAGAAGAAGGAGGAGGCGGAGCGGAGCGTTTGAAAGTGGCGGGCAGTGACAACATCTGATCCGGAGGTGTTGGTCTAAGTGTACGGGCAAAGAACAAAAGTTCATTAGGTTAGCCGTAATAGGAACTAATATTCACAAAGTAGGCAGTTAATTCAGAGTGTGACCGATGTTGGAGCTTTATACTGTCAACCTCTGAGTGCAGCTTTTCGTGTTTTCTGAACGTTGGAGGAAACGTGTGAAGGTAAAGTCCTGCTAAGAGTCGCAGCTAGCTAGTTGGGCAGACGGCTCGTTTAACTTCAGCTAATTATCCGGCAAGTGGGTGCAACACGGGTTGTATTGTAATAGTTTTCATGTAATAAAGGTCTCAATGCTAACAGTAAAGTTGTTAACTTGCTTTATCGTCGCTGACATGTTTGGTATAGATAGCTACCAGCTATACGTCTCCCCCATACATATCAATGGAGTGCGCTAACATGACTGTTAAAGCCACAATCTGTCCAGAAATAATAATCTTCCAGCATGACCACAGTTAATCGGGCATCCTAGTTGTGGCTGTAGGCTATAACGTACACCGATAAGTCATGGGGCTCCACAGACGGTGAACAATGGAGCAGCTCGTTGGAAACTATGGCAACAGCCATGATTGTACTGAGGCATGAGGACGTTTTTTTCTCTTTCACTGAACCCAAGATGATCAGGACAATGAACCCAGTGTTAACGAGCATCTGACGTTATTTATACAGTGCAACAGTCTGGGCACCCTGGTCAACATTTCTGTTAATGTGAACAGTTAAGCAAGTGGAAGATGAAGTGATCTGCAAAAGGCATGAAGTGACAGACAGTCCCTTCACATTTAAACAAAATTAATTTTTATGTTAATCTTTTAAATGTTAGCCCTGTGACAGAGTGGTTACCTGTCCAGGTGAACCTGCCTTCACCCTGAGTCAGCTGGGATAGACTCCAGCCCCCCATGACCCTAGTGAGGATTAAGCAGTGTATAGATGATGGATGACTCTTTGACATTTTCAAAATAAGAGAAAAGAAAAACGGCTGCAGAGCTAGTTTCGTCTTCCACTTGCTTAATTGTAGACTTGTGCATGCCACTGTGTGTAGATACTGATGATCGATGAGCACATTGAAACTTCTGTTTTAGACTAGATCTTTTAAGTCTGTGCCATAATCTGTGGTTGGGCTGAAAAATGCATCGATTTCAAATTGAATTGGCATTTGGAAGTTATGCATTTACCAAATATCAAACGCTGCGATTTCAGATTTGTAATCTGGCACATCTGACTCAGACTTTAAACTGTTATCAATGATTTTACAAACGTCTCAAACATCCTCTCTGTGTGACAGTCCCGGTGTTGACAGTGTCTCATGTGGTACATCAGATGTTTCAGAGTCAATATTGAACTGAAACAGCTTTTCAACAATTACATCAGAAACCAAACCACAATATGTGTCACAACAATCACAATTAGATATTCCCCCAAATCGTTCAGTCCCTCCCTGTGGTCAAAGTCCATATACGTAGTGTTTGTTGTGTGAAGTAACTGTGTGTACAGCTGTTACTATAAACCACCACAACAGTTTGTTGTTGTTATTCATTCCCAGCTTGTTCCCTTTTTGTTGTGGAAGTCTTATAACACTATACTGATGTTCAAGTACCTCACCTGTCACACTAACTTACATTACACTTATGCATGGTTTAATATGCAGATATATATTGTAAATAGTAAATGGCACTTACATAGCGCTTTTATCCAAAGTGCTTTACAATGTGTTTCTCATTCACACACCAATGGCAACAGAGCTGCCATGCAAGATACAGCCTGCAACTGGGAGCAGCTTTGGGTTCAGTGTCTTGCCCAAGGACACTTTGACTGTGGAGGGGCGGGGGACTGAACCACCAACCTTGCAACTGGAGGATAACCTGCTCTACTATCTGAGCCACAGCATATATATTGAGCTTCGTCAGGCTGTCATGTCTCTAAATCAGCCTCCAGTGTTTAACCAATTTAATCATGTTTTAATATTTCAAGGGCAGTAAAGAAAAATCTTATATTTGAAAATAATGTTGGACCATCTGCCACCATATTAGTCGTCAACACTGTTTAGTTTTAGGCATCTCTTTAATTGAGTGTTTCACAAAGTCATCTTCTAAATATGTAATAACACCATCAGTGGCCTCATACATCTCTGCTTCATTATGTTAAACTCCTGTTTTTCTATTAACACAGTTGTTCGTTGGACTCTTGCATCATGACAAATGAGGACGTGAAGGTGATCCCAGTGCGGGTCGCCTTGCGATGTCGCCCCTTGGTACCGAAAGAAACCAACGAGGGATGTCAGTGCTGTCTCACGTTTGTGCCTGGAGAGCCGCAGGTTTGTGCTCAATGACATCTTACAACTGTTTATCTGTTACAGAGGAATGTCTTGTACGTTATACCAAAGTCGATGTAATGTTTTCTTTATTTGTGCTCCTATACTGTGTTTGTAAAAATCGCGGCATTGTGTTTTATTTTAAGGTGATTGTTGGCACAGAGAAGGCGTTCACCTACGATTACGTGTTTGATCCCACTGCTGAACAAGAGGAAGTCTTCAATACGGCTGTGTCCCCCTTATTGTCTGGGCTTTTCAAAGGTAGAGATATTTTTTAAAATGATGATTGACTGGAGCCTCTTTCTGGTTTCACCCCACATCAGTGGCTACACAAAAAAGAAAATTATATTGGATGTATCAGTAAAATATATACGGTACTACAGATTTTTTCCTCGTATCTTTTGAATTGTTTTGCATCCCTGTTAAAAATTGTTCTTTTGGTAGGCTACCATGCAACAGTCCTCGCGTACGGCCAGACGGGATCAGGAAAGACCTTCTCCATGGGAGGAACCTACACATCAGCTCAAGAGAACGACCCCATAGTCGGAGTTATTCCCAGAGTTATCGGCAGGATCTTTGAGGAAAGGGAGAGGAGGACAGACTGTGAATTCTGTCTGGCAGTATCTTACCTGGAGGTTGGTGGACGTGTGTCGATTGCTCTGTATGAATTATATTTTTTGTGTGTATAGAGACATTTACTTTGGTTCATGGCATCCCTCAGATGTCGTCTCATTGTACAAATGCGCCTTAAAAGCAAGTCATTTCAGTGTTTTTTCTTATGATTGTAGATCTACAATGAAGATATATTGGATTTGCTGTGTTCATCTAAAGATAAACCAGCTCTCAGCATTCGGGAAGACCCTAAAGATGGCATTAAGGTGAGAGACTGACACGTTAAAGGAGCGAAAACACACATTTGTTGGGGATTTATTCGAAACCCACACTCACTGCTTGAGTGTCAGCTTTTGTTGTTACTGAAAACATCCTCCTTTCCAGATTGTTGGGTTGACTGAGAGGCAGGTGTTCTCTGCCCATGAGATGGTGGGCTGTCTGGAGCTGGGGAACTCTGCTCGCACCGTGGGCTCCACGGCGATGAACGCTGCTTCTTCACGTTCCCATGCCATCTTCACCATCACACTGGAGCAGCGCAGAGGAACAGACAAGTCAGTGTTTCCTTCCACAAAACCTTCCACCTTAACAACAAATTTTAGCGTGAACAAGCAGCCCCTCCCTATAAAACGATGGGAGAAACTGTCATAAACATGTTCCTATTGAAACTGCCTGTTCAGGGTACTGGTGGCTGTTTTGTTCAAGACATCAAGATTTAGATGTGATATTCATTTTATAAAAACAGTTTTTGCCGCGGGCTATGGTTATATTATTAGATCTGGATTTACTGGAACTGGCTTCAAAATAAGTTTATGTGTTCTAATCCTCATTGCGTGTCCAGAGGAAAGGTTGGAGGTTTTCTAAGGTAAACTAGAATCAAATCTGGAGTATGGGCCGTAGACAAGACAGGAAAAATAGTAGGTGTTTCTGGGGGCTTTTTGTAAAGATTTCATATGATATCGCCCTCAAAATTTGGTTTTGTGGGTGAAACTTGGAAGAAGCAAATCTGGTTTCTGTGACTCACAAAGCAGCATTTTTCAAAACACTGTTCACTGCGAGTTGAATATTTGTGCAATCTTCTGTCGCAGAGCCGATTCTGTTGTTTCTAAGCTGCACCTTGTGGATCTGGCTGGCTCCGAGAGACAAAAGAAGACCAAAGCAGAGGGAGATCGTTTAAAGGAAGGTAACCACGCTGTTTGTAGTTGTTGGCCTTTATGTGTGATCATCCCAGTGATAAATGCTGCTATATAAAGAGGCATCCCTTTGTATTGAAGACGTGTCTTAATACCAGCGCTTGTGTTGCGACGTTGTCCGTGTTTATCCGCAGGCATCAGCATCAATCGTGGCCTTTTGTCTTTGGGTAATGTGATCAGTGCCCTGGGAGATGAAAGCAAGAAAAACACTTTTGTTCCTTACAGAGACTCGAAGCTCACCCGCCTGCTGCAAGGTACGCTTTGATTTCGATGTTCAGAAGTTACACAGTGGTCGCTAGGTCAGGACAACAATCTCCCTTTGAAGACCTTCAAATGATATTTAGACGGCATTTAATATGATGATATGGAGCAAACGTTTTTCATACCTGCTCTTGTGCTGTTACTGTACATCAGGACACACGGGCGCTCAAAGCAGCAACGGTGCAACATACTGAATGACTGCATTATAATTCTATTTCTGTAAACTATTTTTGTGTGTCTCCACAGATTCTTTGGGAGGCAACAGCCACACTCTGATGATCGCTTGCGTCAGCCCTGCCGACTCGAACATGGAGGAAACCATCAACACGCTGCGATACGCTGACAGAGCTCGCAAGATTAAAAACAAGCCTATTGTCAACATTGACCCCAGAGCTGCAGAAATGAACCGTCTCAAGCAGCAGGTACAGCAACAACAACAAAGATTTTTAAAAACATCTGCTGTGGTGGCCTCGTCAAGTAATCTGTGTTGCAGTTTTTTTTTTTATTAAATTACATTTAATTGTTTATTATGGAATATTTTGCATTAACCACTGGAAAGAGATCTGATGGGATTGATTATGTATAATTCACAGCCTACTATTTGTGTATAAAATGTAATAAATGTCCCACATGTCTTCCTTTTTGTGTAGGTTCAAGAACTGCAGGTGATGCTGCTTCATGCCCGTGGAGGAGTAGCTCCGGTGCTCTCTGGGTGAGAAATGCTTCCCCGTGAGCCACCGGGGGTCCCGCGAGGACATCAGATAAAAGCATATTACCCGTAGCAAAAAGGCCATAACGGTTACTCAGTCCCTCTGTTGCAGGCCAGACTCAGCGGAGAATGTGACTAAGCTGTTGGAAAGGAACCGCGCTCTGCAGGATGAGAACAATAAGCTGAGCAGGGAGCTGAGTGAGGCAGCTGGGCAAACGGCCCTCATGTTTGAGAAGATCATTATGGTGAGCCGGACCATAGCAGCATTCGCTAATCCGCTCTCCAAAGTCATTGTCGAAAGCCGACGGGAAAACTGGTACTACTGCTGGAAATGGGTCCATTTGTGCACATGGGTTGGGAAAAAAGGAATCGCAATCGGCATTAAAAATAAACTAGTAAAAATGGCTGTTAAAGACACTGTGTTTACCGTATTTGTTCTTTCTCTGACGTTTCGCATCACCATCCGTCGTGCTCATCACATCATGTTTGCTTTATTTTGCAGACTGAACAAGCAAATGACAAGCTACAAAGCAAACTGGAGCAACTGCGGCATCATGCAGCGTAAGTTTGCAGAAAGCGTGAAGCCGGCGGGGGGTTTAGAGTGGCTTCCACAAAGCTCTGAGACGACACCGTAAACTCGAGCTGTTCTAGTTACAGGCTGTGTTTGGCTTTTAGTGGATCGAGTCAGTTTTGTTCAGGATTTCAGCTGCGTCTTGTCGGCTAAGACCGCAACGAATGGATCGGGCCACTCTCTTAATTAATTTTATGGCTTTTTTTCCAGATGTACAGTTGATCTGGAGAAAGTGGTGGAGACACTGGAGGACCAGGAGTTAAAGGAAAACATCGAGGTGATGAAGAACCTGCAAGACGTCATCTTGGAGCTTAAGGTAAGCAAGTCAAGAAGCAAGAGTGATGCTAAAATTGGCACGTTTACACATTACACACATTAAATAGATTATGTGAAGGTGACTGTAATTGTTTGCAGCACTTTTAGGTCACAACAAATTTTTATCAGCGCCTCTGTTGCAACTGTTGATTTAAATGTTGTTACTGCTACAGTTTATCGTTTTGTACTTGTTGGCTTTATAGAATGAGAGCGCTGGCATCGCCGCCTCCATCGACGCCATGGCTGCAGGAGAAGATGTCCCCGAAGTACCTGGCAGCAAAAATTCAGCGGATGAGTCCCCATCAGTACGCCACCAGTTTTGTTCCTTATTAACACTTTTTGTACTTTTTCCAATCAAATACCCACATCTCATCTGGTGTTTTATATCTAAACCGTATGTGAATTAAAATGTTTCCCACCAACAGGATGACGCTGCCCGGAAAGACTCACCAGAAGCCTTTACAGCCCATCATGCACTGCGACAAGCCCAGCTCTCCAAGGAGCTGATCGAGCTCAACAAAGTGTTGAGTTTGAAGGAAGCTTTTGTGCGAAAAATGTGCCAGAACGACAGCCAGCTGGAGCCGATGCAGTCAGAGCACCAGGTAAGGACTCTGTGACTCACACAAAGATATTTATGCGTTTGAATTCCAGAGAAGTTTGAGAGCATTTGGTATTAAATGGGGGGAAAATGATAATGCTGCATGAGTAGAGTTGATCTCTGGCATTTCTAAGTTGTTGTTTTAGTTGTGATACTGTACCGTACACTAGTCTATTTGTGTAACTGTAAACCGTATTTTCTTAATGTCAGGAAATGGCAGAGTAATTTTAATCTTCTGGGCGTGTGTTCTTGCAGAAAAACGTGCAAACTCTACAAACTGCAGTGGATTCGCTGCAGAAGGAAAAAGAAGACCTCGTTTTGGCACTTCAGTCTGCAAAGAAAGACACCAACCAGGCCAAGTATGAACTCTTTTTGGCTGTGCCTGTATGTAATATTCCAAACACAACGTTAACTGTTCTGATGTAAAATCTAACTCTGCCTTCTTTATCCGACCTCCACCACATTTGTCCAGGCTCAGTGAGCAGCGGAGGAAGAGGCTGCAGGAGCTCGAGGGTCAGCTCGTGGACATGAAGAAGAAGCTTCTCGAGCAGTCCAAACTACTGAAGCTCAAAGAGTCCTCTGTCCAGAAAGTCAGCAAGCTCATGCAGGAGATCCAGGTAACCAGTCACTTTCTTTACCTTAATTGAGCTCCTCTGTTGTTCAGGAGTAAACGCACGATAATCCAGTTTGGGGGGTCATTTTTTCTAATATCTGTGTGACTGTTTTCTTACCAAATGCACTGTTTTACTTTTGTTTATTTTAACCCAAACTGAAAATGTATTCTAAGTGCTCCCTTATAGGTTCATAAGACACGTTTCTGAAACATGAAAGATGTATGTTGGTGTACTAGAAACAAGTGATACATGTTTAGCTATAACATTAATGAGTGTCTCAAAATAGCCTGCAGAGATTCTCATTAAAGCAACTAATTAAGGCCACATGGACAAACATGCCCTAGAAGCAGAGTTCAGCTCCCGGTCGGCAAGACCTCTTGTACATGTCACTCCCCCGCTCTCTCCACCCACATACACGGTCTCTCTTCACAGTCAGTGGCTTACAAAAAATGTGCTTTTGTTTAGAAACCAAACAGGTTTAGGAATGTGATGCTGATCGGGATTAGGATTAGGGTTCTAATGAGATATTCTGAAGTCTCCCACAAAGTCCAGAAACATGTTGAGGTTAATTGGTGATTCTAAATTGTCCATAGGTGTGAATGTGAGTGTGCTTGGTTGTCTGTCTCTAAGTGTAGCCCTGTGATAGACTGGCTAGACCTTCACCTTGAGTCAGCTGGGATAGGCTCCAGCCCCCCATGACCCTAGTGAGGATTAATCGGTATTTAGATGATGGATGGATGGAAGGATAGAACGTTGTGCAACACATTTCTTACTTTTGAAATATGGCGTCATCTCGTGCACTGTGTTGGCACAGAGCATTGCTAAATATAATAGCATATGTGTTAACTACAGATGCCAAATCCAAGCTCAGTAAGACTGTTTCCTGACAGGCTATGAAGACCCAGCGAACACAGCTGATGAGACAGATGAGGGACGACTCTGAGAAGTTCAGACACTGGAAGAGCAAGAAGGACCGGGAGGTGCTGCAGCTGAAGGAGAAGGTACGTGCAGATAGTTTTTCTACAGGCAAGTTGACAAGTACAACAGGTTGTTTTGTGTTTTCTTTTTTTTTGGCTGCTTGAACTCCATGGTTTGTCATGTTTTACAGGATCGTAAGCGGCAGTACGAGTTGCTTAAACTTGAGAGGGATTTCCAAAAACAGGCCAACGTCCTGCGTCGCAAAACTGAAGAGGTGAGCTCCTGGCATTATTATTATTTGTTCTGTTGTTGTCGTTTGTTCTATTAACATTTATGAGACGTGTCAGAGTGTCATTTAGAACGGTTCACAGCTGCGTTTTCATCCAACAGGCTGCAGCTGCAAACAAGAGGCTGAAAGACGCCTTGCAGAAGAGAAGTGAGGCAGCAGAGAAGCGCAAAGATACCCAGAACAGAGGCATAGAGGGAGCTGCTTCAAGGGTCAAGGTTGTAAAACCAGCTTGAGAATTAACCAAGAGTTATGAATATGTTGAAATGTTTCTGTGATTTAGAAAATTCACACGTATTTTAGGAATACGGATAAAGTCACAGTATTGTTGGCTACTGTCTTGTTGTTAATCTGACGTTCATGTGACCAGACGTGGCTTCTGAATGAAGTGGAGGTGATGGTGAGCACAGAGGAGGCCCGGCGCCACCTCAACGACCTGCTGGAGGACAGAAAGGTCTTGGCTCAGGAGATCAACCACCTCAAACAGCAGATAGAGGCCGGGGAGAGACCCGCTCCAAAAATCAGGGTGAGATCTGTACTGCTAACTATACACATTTATGAGATGATGCACAACGGGAATCATTAAATGCACCAGCAGACGAAAAAATGTTCATTCCTTTGGTTTGTCTTCGATGCAGCGCCGGACGCTGATCATCTCTGAGCTGGAGAGCCAGGGGGCGCTGGAAACCCCTCTGACCAAGCAGGTGGAGAACCTGGAGACGGAGATGGGCCTCAGGTGAGTCAGAAAGCCGTTTGTTTGATTTTATCTTTATATCTGACCGCTTTCGTCGCGCTCTCGTTTCTGTAGAGGTGGAATTTCTTTTCCATTTTTTGCCAAGTCGACTATGCAGTAGGTGGTCTGTCCAAGACGTCATCATGTTTTGGTGCTGAATCACAATCCACAATCTGAATCACAAATCTACCCACAAAATTTTAGTCAAACTCATGATCGCATGAATAGTTATGCATATGGCTGCTAGGATACCAAACTCGTCACTCAGGGTTAAAGGCCCGACTCACACGTCTCTGCGTCCTGTTGTTGCTCTGACGTGGCGATTTGTATCTCTGCCGGTTTGATGCTTGTTAAGTTTCGACCCTATAAGACTGGTTGGGTGATTGGTGTTTAGTGCCGCGGAGCTCCGATGAGAGAACACAGTGTTCAGCTTCAGCACCCGGGAGAGAAGAGACATTAGTATGATTCCAGATGGTTGCACAGATATGTACTAATGGTCATTTCTGAAAGTAAAACACCCAGAAAGGGAACATCAAACCGTTGCAGCATTCACGGACAAACATAATAACTCTGAGAACGTACCGCCAGATGTTGGAAAATTACTGCTTTCGAGTGTGCGGCCTCCACTAACGCCACACGCTGCAACAATGACAGCAAAACAGCCGCTTTGCTGTCCAGCAAGCTAAAGTAGTGATCGAAGTTAGCAAATTGCAAACATCCTGAACAGACAATAATAAGAAAAATAGCTTAAATACAGAGAAAACGAGTTCACATAATTGACTTGTGCACCTAGAATAAATTTTAACTATCTAGATTTACAGAAGAAGAATTCACAGAAACACTTTGTTCTAGACGCTGGTCCTCGTCAGTGTTCTGCCAAGCGGCCGTTTGTTTACAAAAATTAGTTAACAGATGGTTTGAGAGATGAGTGAGAGAAGCCGTCTATGTCAAACTGGAAAGACCATCCCTCAACAGAGGTGGAGGTCTGAGGCGTCACCTGTTTACAACTCAGTCCTAAGATCTCAACCCAGGTAGCTGAACCCACATCCACACCTAGACACAAAAGACCCTAATGAACCCCATTGTGGCAGGGGGAGCACTAACGACTCACATAACGAGGGGGAGGAGCAACAAACCCCCAATTGAAACTCAGGTGTTATTGGCTCCTTAAGGATAGAATTATCTGGAACTCCCAACTAGTCAGTCAGAGCTGATGAAGCCTCTTGGATGAGAGGTGGAACGTCTTCAAGCGAGTCCAGCTGCTACGATTAAACTACCAGAATAACCATGATGACTGAGAATCTTCAATAAGTTAAACTTCCAAGGTGCATGAGTTGATCAATGTCCTGATCGTGTCCCAATCTGTCATGATTTTGCTTGTTTCAGGTGCAGGAAGAAAGTCTGGACAGTGCTGTTATGTGTTTATTTAATGACACGGTCTGTACGGTTCCTCTCAAAAGCAGATTATATGCCAAATAAATATCATCCAAGATATGAGATGATTACATCACCCAACTCTACGATGTAATGATGAGTAGCATGTAATGGATAATGCTAACTAAGGTTCTCACATTTCAGATGGATGTTGCTCTGTAGCGGATATGACTGAATCAGTTCACTGATCTCAGGACAGTTTCCTGCTATCGTCATGCTCCATTTAAGTCTTTACCACATCCCAGCTGCTTATGGCCACATTTCACAGCCTCACTCAAAGACATTCTCGTCTCTCAGATTTCTGACTTTATACCTTCTCTCTGCACAGTAAATGTTGTGTAAGATCTTAAGAGTGATTTATATCTCAACAGGAACGCCCAGATAGCTGACCTTCAGCAGAAAGTTCTGGTTGCAGACGGTGAGGGGCGTTTGAAGCAGCGCGTAGACAGCATCACAAGCATAGTGGATGCCAAGTGTGCCCTCAGGCTCCTGATGTCTGAGGTGAGGAAATGCTAATACGCTGTTATGCATTCTATGAACATCATGAATTAGTTAGTAGTGTATTATTTTGCTGGTGTTTGCTTACATAACCCATCAAATATTCCCCCTTTTTTATTTTTTGATTTTTTAGCTGGTGTCTGCCAAAACAGCCAGCGCCAAACTGGAGAGTGAGGTGAAACAGGAGAAAGGGAATGCACAGGATTTAAGGAAGATGCTGGCTGACGAGAGAAACGTGATGTCAACCATGGACATGGAGCACCAGCAGCAGCTGGTAGAGCTCGAGCAGAGGCATCAAGAGAAGGTGCTACACTCATATACCACTTATTTTACAGGCATACAGATTTATTTACAGCTTTGTTTCAAATACGTACGTCTTCCTTCTTCCCACAGGTCCTTTACCTCCTTAACCAGCTACAAAGCAAACCCATAGGCGGCGAGTCGGACGAAACACAACAGAAAGATGAAGAGAGTTCAAAGGAGAAGGAGCTTCTCCAGCGCCTCAAAGTCCAGGTCAGAAGCTGTGTGCTCAATCAGCCTCGGAGTCTATTGTCCTCCTTGTTTTAGGAGAAATCATCCAGAATTATTTCAAACAGTTATTTTTAACATCATTGTAGGAGGAAGAGCTTGGAAAGCTACGAGAGCTAAGTGAGCAGAACCAGAAGCTGGTGGAGGAGAATGATAAATACAGACAGGTAACGGTGTGATTCATAAAGATCTGACTTCATGTGTTGTCATTTGAATTGTACGTGATCGACGCCGTCCACGGATTGAGTAGCACTCTAGTGAGAGCAGTGGCGGTTTAGATCCATAAGTTGGTTTAAAAGCTGTGATGAAGCCAAAGCCAACCATGTCGGTTTCTCCTCTTCAGAAACTCTCATTACTCCACCTGGCAAGTGGGAAGAAGATCCTCCTGCCTACAGCCAACAATGAAAACAGTCCAGATGACTCATTTGAGTACATTCCTCCTAAAGTAAGTTTCTGTAAATATTCTACCTTCCTGTTTGTTGTTTTACAAGGTGGCTTCAGTTTTTAAAGTCAACATGGGCTAATTATCTTAAAGGAATTGTAAAGCGCTGCAGCCAGAAGACATTATTCTGTCAACATCCTAATGATGAGCTCCATGGGTTGTGAACATTTCATTTTGAGTAATTTGCTGAAATAAGGCGTCATACTTTTAATGTAGGAATGTACGATCGTAGGTAAATGATGTAAAAGTCTGATTTTGTTCTCCTTGTGTCCTCTTTAACCAACAGCCCAAATCGAAGCGCTTCACCACAGCCAAAGCTCCGCTGAATCAGACCATCAACGTCGAGGAGCTGATGTCGCCCAGCGAGGACGAGGGCGAGGAGGAAGGAGAGGAGTGGCGACCTGAGCGAGCCGAGAAGGGACGCAGGGCCTCGAAGAAATCCAAAACAACAGGGGTGAGACTGGGACGAGGGGTGGGGCCATTTGTGTATCCGACCTTGAGTGAAGCACGAGAACAAATCCAGGATTAGATTAACCTGGAAAGGCCCCCGGATCCACTGACGTTTTGCTTTGTTCAGAATGTTTTAGGGAAATAAAAAGCAGGAGATGCCAACCAAGATCAACGTCAGCTTCTTACAGCTCTCTGTGATAAAGAAGCCGCCTGAAGTGGACGGTCTGTTGTTGGTTGGTTGGTTAGCCAGAGGAGCGTTTTCAGCCCTACTCACATGGAATGATGTAGACATCACCCCACCGTGTCTGTGTTTTGTGCAGCCTATGGGATGAGATCTGTGTTTTACCTCAATTTACTGACATTATGCCCACATGTGATATTAAAAGACGACTGCATGATAACTGCAGAGCCTGTGGAAAGACAGCAAGATGTATGTTTGTCATCTGTCTCATCATCCTTTAAGATTTCACGATGATGGACACAAGGCTCCTAAATTTACACCCAAAACACTGTACGCATTTTTTTTCCCCCCACAATTGCCAGCATTAATAATTTTCGAGCAGCACAGAGGCAGTGGAAAGGCCACTGTTATACTACTATAAGTGAGATTTTGCGAGATTAAGATCACAGATGACCTTCACAGTTACTCCAAATTACTTGAGTCTCCCAGGTAATACTTGTCCCGTTCAAATAGGGTTTAAGAATATTTAAATGCTCCACCGAACGTCACACAAGCTCCTTCATTCCTGAGTCCATCCTGTCAAACTGCTGAAAAGCAGCAGGGATGAATCCTGTCTTTGTGATGCTGTTTACTAAATCAGTATGTATGAGGTTGTTATAATACAAAAAAACAAAGTAGATGTTTTCCTTCTTCGCTCAGCTGTTAAAGGCCTGTCTCAAATCACGATAGCCGTGTTTCTTATGAAGTCGTTTCTCTCTCCTCAGTGTGCGTGTAAAGGTCGCTGCGGCAACAAGCAGTGCAGATGTCGCAAAGGCAAGATGACGTGCGGCGAGAACTGCCAGTGCGATCACGAGAAGTGTCGGAACATGGAAAACCTGGCGCCTGCTGAGGTGAGTTACCAGCTAACTGCCAATAACTTAGTTTTAATGAGCCGAACTTCAGACGTTATCACACATCTGCTGGCGGGAATTAATGACTCGCTGGTGTGGATTTATCGAACACCTTGTCGTGCACGTTTCACATTTGTAAAAGTGGCACGCACAAGTCTTATCTTTTCAGCGAGGAATATTTTGGTAATATTTAATTTCCAAATCAAATTTCATGCAACTAAAATTTGCATATTAGTTTTTTTGTATTCGTACGACAGCGTTTAGCATCAGTGGCTCTTTTCCATCACAGCCCTTAGAAAGCCGAGTTTGAGCGAGTGTCTAATTTTGAACCAGCTGATTTGCATTTCGACAGCCAGAGAAGAGGCTTTCAGCCAGGAAAACTTGATCAGGAGTGGTACCAACACACACACACACAAAAAGAAAAGAAAAGAAAAGCCAGAGCTTCAGTAGGAACATGTAATCAAAGGCTGTGGAAAGCAGATGAGGTTATTATTCATCTCATTGTCCTGCCTGTCACCGGATGAACATCGCCAGCTGGCGTTTGAACGCCGTCGCCGAAGCACAGAGCGACATTCACAAACAGTTTATATACAGTTGTGATATTTAAAAAATGGAATGGCGGCGAAAATGAGAGTCGTAATGACTTCGTAGACTTTCCAGCTGTGGTCCACGGGAGAGACAAACTGTCATGATGCAGAAGACACACAAGAAAAAGGAGCTTCAGTAACAAAAGCTGTATTCACATATAGAGTGATGTGGGTCTACGGTGGCTCTCCTGTCTGTAAATAAAAGTCAGCTGGTTGTTAGAAGAGCATAAAACCGTCACTAACACCTGCTCACAACTGGCACCAAAGTGGGAAAAGATGCAGGAAACATTGTTCTTGTTTTTTTTTCATTTCAGGATGTGAGTCACTCAGAAAGTGTTTCCAGAGACTCTGTGTCTCTTCAGGACCCCACAGCCAGCAGTCCCGACAACACCACCTTCTTCAAGCCGCCATCTTGCACGCCCACGAAGAAGGTAAGCAGCCGAGGCGCGAGCTGCAGGAGGGATGGTTGGGCTGCATGCCGAGGACGTGTTCATTTAAATGCTTTAAATTCAACCGGGGCTGGCGGTGAAGTTTAACCGCTGTATGAGTGTATAAATGCTTTATTTTATTATTATTATTATTATTATTATTATTATTTATTTTATTCTCTTTCTTTACTCGGCAAAAAAACAAACAAAAGTTGTAAAATTGGAAATCTTTGTTTTGTATTCTGTATTTCTTTTTTTACTTCATTTTTTGTCTGTTCTTATATACCGTAATTTTCGGACTATGAGCGCACCTGAATATAAGCCACACTGAGATATTTACACTGAAAGATTTTTTAAACTTTCATTTAAATACGTACCGGTAACATACACAAATATATAAATGTTTTTTTTCTGATCAGCGCCTGTAACACGGCTGGTTAAGAAAATAAAAAAATACGGCAGCCTACCAGGAAAAATCATTGATCACCATCTTCATCTTCTTCCTGCTCACTAAAACCACTAAAGTCGTCTTCTTCAGCCTCAGAATTACCTCGTCACACACTTCCTCTCTTTCGTTGTCGCTGTCAACGTTGCTTTCGAGACAAATTCGTAAAAATCCATAAATTAGCCACATCATTGTTCAAGCTGCGTGTGAAAAAAGTAGCTGCTTATAGTCTGGAGATTACGGTAATTATGTATTTTGTGCTACTGTGATTAAATAATTTCCCCTGTGGATCAATAAAGTTGGCCTAAAATGTGTGCTGCCAACATTAAACTAACATTCATTCTCTGATATGTCTCGTTTCAGGTGCTGCAAGAAATCGGAGACATGGGTCACTCCACCGCAGAGCTGAAGCTGGTCAGAAAGCCCATTCTGGCAGAGGAAGAGGAGGAGGACGACGAAGAGGAGGACAGAACGACAGTCAGCTTCCTGAAGAAGAAGAAACGAATCCTGACGAGTTTTCAGAACAGCTTTTTCTCCGGCTGCACTCCGATCAGAGAGGAATCCTAACTAACGAGGACAGGAGGCCCGTCTTAATGCTACCTGTCTGGATGTGTGTTGATGTGTCGTCGGTGCGGTTTCGGTCTTTTTATTGTTTATGTGTTTATGCGTACTGTAACTTGAAAGTAGCCGTTGATTGTAAAACATTTCGTGTAGAGGGTAACAAAAGGACTGTGAATAACTTTGAATCGTAAACTGAAATTCACATCGACATGATCAGGAAGCCTGTAAATAAGTTTTATGTGTCGTTTTTTAATCCTCGGATAGTCGGACTAGTTCACTAATGTGTTATATCTCACACACACACACACATGTTGGGGAGCATCTCTTTAGCTTTTCACCTGCTTTTAGTATCAGAGCTGAATAAAGTTTTACAGTCAAATCTTGATTCTCACAGAACAAACAGTTTCCCCCCTTTTTGTCTGAATGTGCTGAATATCTTAGAATTTGAAGATGAAGAATAAATTATTGTGATCTGTCTGTTCCAATTCATATTTCATCAAAACATTGATACGTAGCAGAAATCAATTCCACTTTAATCTTACGCTAATGCATGTTTGTACCTTTTGCTAAGCGTCCGTTTGTCTCTGACTGAGCAGAACGAGTGCCGAATACATTAGTGGTTAATGCATTTCCTCTGAATCGGGTTCTCAGACCAGTGAAATAAAACTGCTGTTTAGGAAAAGTCCAGTCACGTAATGTCTTCAATACTTTAAGGTCCTCGTTTTGCTGCTTTACGCTAAATTATTTCCCCATCTGCTCGTAAGTCAACACAAGTCCAAAAGCTTCAACTAAATCTAATGTCTTTTATTTATATTTTGTTCTGCATCTCGTCGTGAACATCTCGTCACAGGTTCCTTGCTCTTAGCGAATCTGAATTTTGCTGCTTCGTTTTCAGATTTGCTTCAGGCAGAGTTTCAAGCATTAACGACGCACCATCGATCAGATCAGCACCTTTCACATGTCCGCCATTGTTTTTACTCTCAGATGAATAAAATAGAGAAATTAACACATGACCGAGTTTTTGTCTG